ATATGGGCACAAGAGAGTTGTTTCGCAAGGAAGGGTCTACCGCACCTACTCACACTGGAATATATATACACAAGTACCAACGATCGATGGTAGCAATGGCAAAAATTGAAGGAGTTAATAAAGCTTGTATTGCTGCCATAACCACATTATTCTTGAGATGCCGCCTTCCACGGCTATGATTACTGCCTGCCTGCAAATCTTAAAAGAAATATTACAGGAAAATAGATGTAAACTAAAAGCGTTTAACTGATTTTATCACTCTTCAAGGAGATCATGTTAATGAATGAATTTTTCAAAGAGAAAAAGCTCTTGTCTCCTTAACTCTGGCAATTGTTAATCGATATATATTATGGCTGTAGGTTTCTATAAACGCTATTAAATCGTATATATGTGCAATTTTATTTTATTTTTAAGCGGGACAAAAAAAAAAAAAAAAATAGTTTATATTAACAGACTCAACGCAAGTGAAATTTTACTCTTTGTTGTTTTTAATACGTTTTCCGGAAACCATAAAAATTTGCTGCTTGCTATTATATATATATAGTTGGCGTGCTTCGGGCAATTATATAATTTAAGTTATTTTCGAATTATTCTCTATCTCGGCATTTTCAACTTTCCAACCGATAGCCGATAGCCTTAGATGCTAGTGCTTTTAAGAGTTTAGTCTTAGAATTTATTTCTGTGGCGAAATTAATAATAATAATAACAATAATAATAACTTTCCAACCTAATATTCTCATTGAATACTTATTTACTTAGAAACTTGATGCTGTACCATCATATCGTAAATTAAACTGTTTGCATAATAAATAAGCAGATTATGAGAATGACTTCGTTTAGGAAAAATTTATGGAGTGTGTATCTAGCACAGTTCGACGCAGTTGAATACATTTTTTATTATTATGGAAGGTTTTCTTCGAAGAGACTTTAAAGGCAGTGCAAAAGGTATGAAAGAATTATTTGCACAGACAATCAAGAAGAAAGATATCGGCATCTAAGTGCGGTGACGACGAGCTATTACTAAAAGATAAGTAAACTTTTAAGGCGAATATTCTCCCGCGATTTACGACCTATGGGCATATCTAAGATAGGACAAGAAATACTTATGTATAAAAATTGTTTGTGTACCTCAAATACAGCAAATTTAATAACGATATGTGCGAGAGTTCATGACTAATTAAAATAAGTATTAAATGAACTAAAAGATATGGTGCTTAACAATAAACATGACATTAAATTTTAATAATAAAAATGAATTAAATAAGTGCAACTAATATATTCTATTTTACCCAAATTCAAGAGAAGGCGTAAGGGGTGAAGTTAAATTACGTTTAACGATACTGAAGGTCGGTCTTTTTCAAATCGTTATCTGTGAACATTACGCAACAATACAAGTTGTTTTGTTGGAATCTAACGAACTTAATTCTTTTCTATGTCGAGTTATTTGCCAAAAAGGACGTCATTTGCGGCAAGCGTGATATTATCTGTCCTTCGAAACAGATACGAGGAAATGTGCTCTACCGTAATCCGAATCGCTAAACCGCAAGCCATTAATTTATGCTCTGTAATATGTTTGAATCAGTGGTATGTAGTGTAATGTATCGTTGAGAGTTGTTTTAGTATGGCAAGGATCTATTACATATTACAAAACCTCGCTAGCATATATTAGCAGGCTTAAGCACAAATGCGCTGCCCTGCTACACCTCTCCCCCACCACAACCTAACCGCGCTTCTGTTTATATAACGATAATCCAAACAAAAAAAAGAATGTTGATTTATGAGCCGTTCCAAAAGACGGTCTGCCAGAAGAATGCGAAAAGCAATGACCATTCAACGACCAACTTCCTAAAAACTTAAGACGATCTATCTCACTGTAGTGAAAACTTTGAATTTTGGAAAATTGTTTGTATAACGAAATTTGCGATTCTTAGCTACTGCAGGCTTGGTAGTCGGCGAGACATCATCAAATTTTATCAATTTAGTTTGCACCTAATCTATCAGCTTGAAATAGACATAGCCTTGAAAACATGAAAAGATAGAAAACAAGTAAGAAAATTGTATTCGGCGGGAGCCGAATCCCGCATATCCGCCCTTATGTTTTTCGCATTTTGCTCTACAAGTTCTTTTATTTGATACCCATATTGCTAGTATTATTAAGAAAACAGTAATCGCGGTGTCTGCCATATTCATTTTGAAATGAATCTATTTTTAGGCAGATAATATATCTTCATTTAAGGAGTGTACAAAATCGTTTTAAAGATTCCGTCTTGTTTGCCTTATGATAAATAAGCGTGAAACGTCAAAAAAGTGAAAAAAGTAAAATGTAATCATTTGTAACTTTCTGTGCGCATGGCGGATGTGTTCCATTCCACAATATGCGAAGAAACAGAGACATTTCGAATATTAATTTATTTTCGTATACAGAATTTTTGTTTTAAATCGTATAGACAATTGCACTAAAATTGATCGTTCGAGAAAAGGTGCTTTATTCACAAACCAAATAATGTCAAATGATATCAAATCTGCTCACATTTTACAACAAATGGGTTTCTCTAAAAAATTGATACTCAAACTCCCCATGTGCTATTAATAGAAATGTTCCGTAGTGCTTTTAGTGTTAACACACTTTATATTGTAGTTTAGCATAGAATGCAAAATTAAGCAATTAATTATCACAGCTTAGCTTCACATACCTCTATATGTACATATATGCATCGCGATATTAACAATGTTCATATAAATAATGAAGCACTATTCGATATAACCTTGACTCAGAAATTATTTAAAAAAAAAAATTTTTTTTTTTTTTTTTATTTTAAACGCATGAATGCATCTTATTATGTGTTTAATTGTTACAGGAAACTACAGCGAAAACATTAAGATACGGAATAAAAATATTTTTTCCACTAAAGCAAAATTTTAAGTATTTTGGAGAACTTTTTCACAATCTTAGCTCAACTTACAATGAATATTTTGAATTCCATAGGTATTGCTTTTTTTCTTAATGAAAATCAACAATTTATTAACAATAAAACATTTTGACAATTAAAGAAACAAACACTTGAATAAAAAGCTACAGCAAGATTTCAGTAAAGGCAACATAAGGACAATGCTAGAGACTGCTGGTCAGAGCTGCTTGCGCTAGAAAACTTTTACGTTTGTAGTGAAATAGTGAATGCAGGTCAGTTCTCTCTCATGCACCAATAAAATGGTTAGGCATAGAATGGCTTAAGTGTTTTTTTTTATTTGCAAAAAAAAAATGTTTAAAAGATTTTAAAAGAATGCCGTGGAATTCCCGTAAATTCCAACGCTGCCAAATATTTGACATTTGCGTTAAGAGTGAGTGAGCCAATGGCAAGTAAATAGATATGAAAGTCCACGTTACAGCATTTCCTTCACTGATGATTACGGTGGATTTTGTATGTATGTATGTATGTATGTATGTATGTATGTGTGTGTGTGTGTGTGTGTGTGTTTCTTTTCTTTTTTTTTTTTTTTGTTTTGCTCTGTGAGCTGGAGGTAGAAAATCTTCGAAAGATACTGCTGGGTCTTAGTAGCAGCATGCACGATTCGCCATCCCTGGTGCATACGTACTAAAAACTACCCCCACACACACACTTCGTCTACCACTCTCCCCCGCGGGACCACCGTTAGGTATTACTTCGCGGGGGCTGGTTGTCGCTAGCACGCTCATGATGGTGGGACCTCAGTGGAATGCACTATCGGCTTCCACTCCCTCTGCTCTCCACCCGTTGTCTCTCCAATCGTCGCAACTCCACGAGCGTATTGCTGGCGAATGCGTCTACGGCGTTCCAGGCTGCTGCACTGCCAACCATTGCGCTTGTTATCTCGTTAGGTGGCACTTGAGGCCTTCCATTCTCGAACCTGCTGCAGTAGGACATTACGTGTTCTGCGTCCTCCTCTATATCCTCGCATACCGGGCAGTTAGGCGAACTGTCGTGCCCGAATCTGTGTAGATATTTCCGGAAACAGCCATGGCCAGTCAGAAGCTGGGTTAAGTAATAGTTTACTTCTCCATGCCGTCTGTCGACCCAATGTCTTATTGTGTGTGTGTGTGTGTGTGTGTGTGCTTGTGTGCGTGTGTGTGTGTGTATGCGTATATAAAATGGCACGTTCTGGTGAAGAAAAGTGAAGAGTATATAACGCATGCATGCAACTATTTCTTAGGGTCAAACTGTTTTTATTAGGTGTACAACTAAGTGTCCCTTCACTTTGTTTAATGCAGTATGCAACAATAGCCATTACTTCCTTGCATCTTTTATGAACAATATGAACAATAGCGAAGGCACTAAACATTAACCACATGATAGTTTGCAATCACTTGAAAAGAGTAGACTATAAAAAGAAGCTCTAAACCGCGAAAAGGGCCGCGGAGTCTTTTTACATGATCAATGTGAATAAACTTTGACGATAGATATGGGAAAAGTTTATTCACATTGATCATGTAAAAAGACTCCGCGGTCCTTTGAAAGGTCAATTGTGAGAAAAGTAAGATTAGTTTGCAAGCAATAATAAAAGTACTGCCCAAGGTCAGGGAAACTTTTTGACTAGATCACGCATATCTTTTATGACCTAAATTAAAATTGTGTGCTTAAATATTCCCGTCTAACTACTATTCGCTTCATTCTCTACAGAACACTCTTAATAGTGTAAGACTGGCCCCTAAAAGGGGCCTGTGAAAATTACTTGATTCAATCTTTCATCCAAACATTGCAGAAATTCTAGAGTCATGAGGTAATGCTTTTACCAGGGAAGTGGCAAACGGTCACATAATGATAGTAGCCTTTCTGTACTCATATGAAAGCATTACTGAATAAACAAAATATTTTGTTAAGGTAAACAAACAAATTGTCGCGTTATATATTTCTTTAATTGTCAACGTACCTTGTTAACATAAAGTTGCAATCTTTGTTTTTTCATCCTCGTCTTATGGATTCGAATCACTTCTAATTTGAAATTAATTACGGATTTTCTTCTAGAAATAACACGCGTCGAAATGTCACCAGCCGAGGAAACTTCATATACTGCCGAAGGCCCAAGTAAAAAAGCTATATGTACGATGGCCTTCTTAAAGATTATAGAACTGGTGGGTATATAAGAAAGGTGGTAAACAAAAGCAATTTTAAATTTCATTTTGAAAAATGTAGTGCCTCATCATTTGTTGTGTGGGCTTAATTGATGAACCAGCCACCCATTCGCAATTGCGGGCTTTCGTAACACCACGCGTTTGCGCCATATGCTACTTAACCTTTGGCTGTTTCTTAATTTATACAGCAATTTATTTAATTATGGTTCTAGTTGGTGAAATGTGAGTTCACATCATTTTTGTGCCATGCTGTGTGCTATGCTGCAGTTACACGCGTTGAATACTTGAAAAACAGATGTTCATTTCATTTTTTGTTACATTTAAGCTTGAACTGGCGTCACAATGCTTTATGGATGTTTGTCGCAGTTACTTTATTTGTGATATCCTCTGGTTTGCTGTTCCGCAACTGGTCCCAAATGAAAGAATATAATTATTGGCATCCAAATATGCAGAGATTGGATTTGGTGTTAGCAACCGCCTCGGTATCTCTGGTCACTGCACTCATTTTGATTTTCGATTTATGCGTCACCGTTCGTTTTGGTATACAGGGAGACTTGGATTAACATCGACGACTCTTTATTAACAGCGATAAACTTTTCTAGCACCATTTTTAATAATCAATCAGGATCGTTAATGCGACTTATTGCAATCGTTACAACATATTCGGAGAATTTTTTTTCTTTTTAATTAACATCTATCGTTAATAGTGTTTAAAATAACGCACTGTAATATTTACAGTTTTTATATGTTACGTATAACAAATTTCATTTCTTTTTCAAATATTGATTTCATGTATCCATTATCTGAGAAAGGATTTCAACTGCAGCAGCAAAAAAAAAAAAGGGGCATAAAATTCTATATCAATTTGAATATGTCCGTCTGTCTGCCTGTAAGTTCTCGTCACAATAACTAAGATATCTGCTGCGAATTGGCAAAAAAACATTAAAAGTTGTTGGACACAGCTTGGTGTTGAAAATTGGCAAAATCGTACGCAGCTCACTGCCACAGCAAAAGCAAAAAAATTAGTATTCTGCTCGTAATTATTTGTATACTCTTTTATATGGGAAAGGTGGCGGGTATAAAAGATTCGCTCAAGGCAAAAATTTAACGAAATATTTAATATCTACATACCATCATGCTTTTCTTGGGGAAAAAAAAAAAATTTCGAACCTCAACGGATATTCAATAGCTTTGAAAGAAATTCGTAGCCGTAAATATCATCATAAACTTTACGTTTCAAATAATTTTAAAAAAAAGGGAGATAAGCCGCAACATTTTCGAATTCATTGATCAAGAAATTCCACAATGTATTTAAAAAGTTTATGTGAACAACATTGTGAGTTACTTTAACAATAGCCGTCTTTTGGTTCTTTTTTTTTTCCTATCAACGAAACAACGCCCATCAAAACGCGAAATGAGCTTTGGGCAATAATTCCGCGTAATCGCGTTGCGGTAGTACCCGGAGACGTTTTCGATCAATCCACCGACACATCCAGAGTTAGCGTAAACAGTAATTGGTCATTAATTTATGTTAAAAGTGATGGATACCGAAATTCGCCTCATGGCGAATATAAAACTTTGTTTTCATTTTCTCTTTAATTTAATGAGTACGTTTTTTATCTTACATTTTTATTACAGGTTAATGCCATATCTAGTAGTTTTTTAATTAATAACGAAATGTACAAAAACAAAAACACAGAACTAATAAAAGCCGAAATGTTTACAATTTTTTGAATAAAAAACATATTAAAAGAAAAAGAAAACCACGAGCAATCACTTAACGACGAGTTCGACAATAATCAAATAACGATTGCCACACACTTTTTCCCCGTCTTCTCTTTTGTGTTCAAATGCTTCGCACTAAACTTGCTTTCCTTTATCAAAAAAAAAATATGTCGCCAATCTTTAAATTTGCGATAATTCCAACGAAAAAGTACGTTACGAAAATGGTGAGATGGATCTTTTTTTGATTGTAGTTTAGCATATTTCAAAATTGTACGACTTTTCCGAAAGGCTAAATTAAAAAAAAAAAAAAAAAAAAAAAAAAAAAAAAAAAAAAAAAAAAAAAACAACTACTCTAATAATAGTTAATTGGAGTAATTCGGAACATCATTCACATAGCGCATAAAAATCATCAATCCCGAACGAGTTGCAACATGTAATATTTTCCATGAGAGTAACATTGAATGCGAATGTTGTCCAAGGTAAAGCAAAAACAAATTACTCTGATTAACATCCAATGAACTCGATGTGGAAAGAAAATTATTGAGTTTTCTTTTAAAACACGAAGATAATTGGGCTCGTAATCGGAAAAAAGTCCCGCCAATGGATGCACAATCGTATTTTGCAGCTATTCGACCTGGTTGTGAAAACGTCTATCGCTTTTATGGCCCTTCCTCGTACGCCTTCTTGTCTTTCGGTCGGTTTATTTTTTCGTCTTCTTTTTATTAAAGAAATATTTGCGGACATACAGCTATCCATAAGCGTTTCCACGCAGGCATATGCTAAAAGTATGTCTTCCATTATTGCACATGTGACAATGAACTTTCAAATATAATTCTTTTCTTCATTACATCGATCAGTTTGAATTATGATTTTCGGAGAGGTAGTACAAATTCGTTGTTGTCTACAAATAGTTACTTCTATGTTACAGCATTCTACGAGGTATTAAAGTTCATCGTTATCTAATATTTTCTACCTCACAGTTGGAATCTTCTACCAGGTACTAGCAGTAATCGTCACTTGCAGACACTTGCCTTTACGTCGTCGTAGTAATTTTTTACGAGTTCCTACAAAGCCATTGTCACTTGTGAATTAATTGCAATCTTCTAAAGAGTTATTCGAATGTTACAAGCATAACTAATATTTTAAATAAGAAGACGATCACAAATTGGTATTCAACGAATTGTTCCTTTGTTTTTTCTTATTATTAGCTACAGGCGTATACGCACGTATCCCTATCATACTCAAGCTTATCTACATATAATTTGCTTTCATGCCATATACAAGCGTTACGTATTAATGGCGGCATACATAAATAGTTTGGTTTTGACTTTAATATAATTCGCTTCATTTCATACATCATTTAGCACTGAAATTTTTCACGTTTAATGGTACGTTTATGTCTCATAATCCAATGTAAATTTTTTTCTATAACGTATGAGTTTTCCTGCGACTTATGAAATAATTTTCTCAATTTTTACCATTTCTCTATAAGATCTCCCCTTTGGAACAAATTATGTTGTACGCATATCTGCATAACGGCACAATCAACTTCGCACATTTTTTTTTTCTATTTTATAAATACATTCGTTTATTTATTGCCTTTGCCTTAGAAATTACCTGACGCATACGCCTTCATAATCCTTCACATTAAATCCATCTTTCATATATAACAGTTTATATATTCCGTTTACCATTCTGGAAAAAGCAAATATAGGCTTCGTATTGTCATATTGTCGTTAGAGGAACTGCGGCGAACTTGACTTTTTCTCGTCCACATGAATCGTCATGTCGGGAAAGTCCTCACTTTAGAATATTTCTTAACTAATTAGTAAAAGTGAATCTATTTTCATACATTCTGTTCGCTGCTTTTTTAATGATTAATAAAGTCGCTAAAACCATACATAAATATAAAATTGATGATATTAAATGTGTTTTAATAAAAGCAAAGCAAACAAAGATTTCCACTGTTAACGAATCTAAGTCGTAAAATACAATGTAACGCAAAAAAGTATAAGTCCAATATCCATGTTGTTTAACAAAACGTTTGTTACCCTTGGCTTGGAGTGAAAACGCCCTATGCTATTAAAGTGTTAGAAAATGATTCGCCTAAGAAGTATCCCAATAAGTAATTTTTAACTTGATCCAGGAAAATCTCCTGATTTACACCTTCTCGCTAATAGAAAAATAAAGTATGTCGAAAATAAACAAATCTTGCTATACAGAAATTTTAAGACCATCTTCTAAGGTACACGCGGATTCGAAAAAATGTGAACCTACACTTTTCCAAAATTTCAGCTTATGGTGAAGCGTTGATTACATTTGGTCGTACACTCCTCCAGTAAAGGGCACTAGTGGCCTTGAAAATCATCAATGATTTAATGAAGGTTTTTGAAAAATAAATGTAGTACTAATCTTTTTCAACAAATTTTTCTAGCCTAGTAATGGATATTTCATTTTGTTTGCATCCGCTGAACTTCTATGCGGTGTCGTCAACCCCGGCTTACAACATATATCTGCGAACAGTTATGAAAGAGGGAGAGAGAGAGAGAGAGAGAGAGAGAGAGACATCGTCGTGCAACAATTAAAATAAAAATATAACTTAAAATTAACTGCCATAATTTGCAGCAGAACGGGCAGTTACATACTATGTGGAATACCATATTATCGATAGAACCACATCTCACCAGTTTCTGTGTTGTGCATTAATGATACAGCCGTTACATTCGGACCAAAGATTGGCTTCCTGCTTTTCTTAAATAACCAATTGTACCAATTTACTGTAAGATATTCAAAAAAATCAACTTTGAAAGGCGAAACCTTTGTAGAAGTGCACATGCAACGCACGTGTATATAAAATAAAATTTACTTGCTTATTTTTAGATAACATAAGGAATTGGAATTGTGTCCGCTAGAAAACTCTCAGCAAAAAACGTGCACAACATATATAAATTAAAATAATTCTTCTTCAAAAAGTCAAGATTAATTTGAAATTTTGAAATTGCTTTTACAACTTCTATTATTGTGTCATATTATTTTAAATGTTCTTCATATATTACATTTCTCCAAACTTTTATACGTACCCTACGCTTATACTATTTTCAATAGAAGTGAATAAAATAAGTTTATTTAGATTATTTTAATTAAAATTTCATAAACACGTTTGTTGAACTGGTTAAGAATTGCGTATTGGATTAAATATATAAGATGACTAAACGGTCGACATGCAAAACTGAATATCTACTTTTATTGAGGACGTTAAAAATGTCTACGGATTAGTTTTAATACGTTGCTATTATGTTTGATTAAATAAATAAAGTTAAATTAAAATATATAAATTATTTAAGCGCGTATAGCATATGAATCGAATTGCTTCTTTTGGGCTATTTTACTTATTTTCTCCGTATTGTATGAACTGTTATTTCCGTTGCAAAACTAAGATTTGAAAGTAATGAATACGGACTTAGTTACCATCCTTAGCAGATCAATGAACTCTTATTGGGCGTTTTCTTCCAAAATCTTGTAAAAACCATCGATTTAAATTGAATAAAATGAGAAAAACGCATTGTTTTTATTTAGAGTTTTTTTGTTTCATTCTATTTAGTTCCTATTTTTTAAGCAACTATGTGTAAAATGTAGTCAAAAGACGGTTCTTTCTGTTTACCTCAAACCAATCTTTTCGTACAGAAACCAAGTTAAACAATATTTTCAACAAAATCCATAATTAGAATCGTAAAATTACCCGCAAAACCATAACAAATGTATTAATTTTATAATGCTAATTCTCCTCCTCGTTACTGTTAACAAAAATCAACAATTCCTTGCACTTTTATATAGAATTTATTTTTCATTTTCGTAATTGCCGTAGTGCAAACCTTTATAAAAAATCTTAAACAATCTTAAACACTTCAAATTTGAGCAGAGTTAAAAAAAAACATATAAAAATTTTCTAAAAAAAAAATTTATCAAACTAAAAATGCCGAAGGGAACTGCTTGAAAGTACAAGTGAAATGAATCGGTTCCTTACAATTGTACTAGGTTGTAGCGAAACAAGTAATGTGATTAGTAGTTTCCCACACCATGTGACATTGTATGTCGCCAAGTTGCTGACTTTTTATTTCTACCCTAAATGTCTATTTGAAAATCCTTGAAATACATATATAACAACCGTATCGTGTAGTTTCAATTTTTAATTTATGAATTAATAGTTTTTTACCAAATCACTTCACTCTATTTATTATCGTATGTTACAAAAGTAAGTGGGCATGTCAGGATTATTTCCAGTTCTGTTTAAAAATAGAAGCATAACATTTCCAAAGAACGACAGGAAGAAAAAAAACCTGGCAAAAATAGTCGTAAGATTAAGTCAATTCGCTAAGTGTCGGGGTATCAAATCAGTCCCAGCCGTAACCCACGCAAGACCTACTTTGTTGTCCAAATGTTCAAAATGTGGTAAATGTCAATTTGTAGTTTGATAGAGAGTTGCATGTTTATGTGGTATAAAGGTAGCTCTAATCAAAGTTTTAAGAGAAACGCCCAAAAATTATCTTTGGTTTAAAGATTTCTTTACATCTAGTTATGCAAAAATAATTATCAAACATCGTCTGGGAGGTAATAACGTAATTGGAGGACAGCTTTCGTCTCTGTATTGAGCCGTTTTTTACAAAACAGCGCAAGCTACATTTTTGATACGTGATTATCCGCTATGGCATTTATCGAAATACGCTTATAATCGGCGCAAGTTCATTTTAATAGGACAAAATGACCACGACAAAATAAACAGTAGATCCGAACTATTCAGTTTTTACATTTTTTGTTTAGATGACTCTGTCTCCACATAAATTATGTGTAATTATTTTTTTTGAATTCGCTTTCCTTTGCACGTCGCCTTTTTGCAGAAAGATATAAGCAGCAACAAAGTAAATACCACTTATATGTCAACATTTTAGCGTTTTCTTTATCTAACTTGAATTGCAAGCAGAAGCCTCGGTTTGACATCATTGTTATTGTTTTTAAAACAAACGAAAAACGAAATGTATAAATAATTTAATAATAAACAATTTAATAGATAAATTTATGAATTAAAACTTATACAAAATATTAAATGTATAAATAAAAAAATATAGCGAATTGTAAAGAAAATCGAAAACAAGATAAAACCTGTAAAATACAACTGTAGCAAGAAAACGTCAGTGCACAAGAAGAAAAAAATTCCTTTTTCAAACAATATATAGATAAAAAAAGTTTGTTTTGCAGATTGTGAAAAGAAAAATTTTAATATATATACATATATTAAAAAAATTCTCAAGTTCTTTTTCTTTTTTAA